AGACTCTTGAGAGTCCCTTGGACTGCAAGGAGATCCAACCAGTCCATCCTAAAGGAGATCAGTCCTGGGTGTTCATTGGAAGGACTGATGCTGAAGCTGAAACTCCAATACTTTGGCCACCTCATGTGAAGAGTTGACTCATTGGAAAAGACCCTGATGCTGGGAGGGATTGGGGCAGGAGGAGAAGGGGGTGACAGAGGATGCGATGGTTGGATGGCATCACTGACTTGATGGACATGAGTTTGGGTAAACTCTGGGAGTTTGTGATGGACAGGGAGGCCTGGTGTGCTGCGATTCATGGGGTCACAAAGAGTCGGACACGACTGAGTGACTGAACTGAAGTGTGACCCCATGGACTGTAGCCCTCCAGACTCCTCTGTCCATGGGATTCTCCAGGCAGGAATACTGGAGTGGGTTGCCATTTCCTTCTCCAGGATAAAAGTACCATTTTTCAATACTTTTCTTGTCAAAATATTTGGAAACAGTCTTAGTAGGCATTGCCGAGGGTTTAGGCTTCAGTCACATATTTTCACAGATTTGTCAAATATGTCATGGCGTTTAAGATGTCTTTGTGGACAGCTAGCATACTTGAGGCTCACTGTGTTTCTCCACTAATGTGTAGTGTTAAATTGTGGTCATATGCTTTCTTAAGGAGCCAATGTTAACCACGGTCAATGGCTGGACACCCCTCTTCATGCTGCCGCCAAGCAGAGCAGTGTGGAAATCATCCACCTGCTGATAGACTACGGGGCTAACCTCAAGTGCAAAAATGCCCAGGGCCAAAGCGCACTTGATCTGGCAGCTCCAAAGAGCAGCATAGAGCAGGCGCTCCTGCTCCGGGAAGGTAAGGAAGGGTGGGCATCCCCTTTTCCACAAGCACATGTACTCTCTCTCCTTCCTGCCTCCCTGTAGACTGTCTTACCTATTTGCTTTTCCTCTCTCTAATTGGGAATGGCACGTGGGAGCAGGCGAGTGCTAGCATTGCCAGACGGGATTTTGTCACTTATAACAAAGGGGCATTTTCATACACCTGTTATGTGGCCTTGTTTGTGCATTAACAAGAAAAGAGAGAAATTTGTTTTCACCTTAAAAAGGTGGAACTGCCCCATGTATCCTGGCATAAGCACATGATTGAGCAGACTGCTTTGTAATACTTGAAGGCAATTTAGGGGAAATGAGAAAAATTTGAGTTAGATATGGTCAAGTGGACACAGAGTGTGTCTTTCAGAAACTGGACTAAATGGTGAAGTTGTTTGCCTATTCTCCAGCTCAGGGAGTCAGTGAATCTGTGCTCCCCATTGCCCCATGCCCATATCCACCATGGGCTAATGAATCTCTAGATGCTGGAGGAGGGAAGGCAGGCCCTCTACCAGGCTTGATATCCCAGATTCTACGGAGAACCATGCTGTGTCCCCATAAAAAGAGAACACTATCTGAGCCTCTCCTGAGCATGTGTATGCTCAGGAGACCATTAAAGTAATAGTAATTATTCAGCTTTCCATATGTCAGACATTGAGCTAGGTTTGAAAGAAACATTGATGCATCTCACTGAATTCTCAAAACCTCAAAGCTATGAGAACTTTATGGTAACTTGTGCTTTAACCCAGCTCCAAATAGAAACAAGAGGAGCACAAAGAGATGGGCTTTCAGAAGGTCACACAGCTACTAAAATGTAGGACTAGGATGCTAACTAAGAGCTAAGATTCTAACTTGCACTCTTCTTATTACTATTATTGGAGTACTATGGATTTTTGGCTTCCTTGGTGAGTCAGCTGGTAAAGAACCCACTTGCCAATGCAGGAGATGCAAGAGGTTTGGGTTCGATCCCTGGGTCAGGAAGATTCCCTGGAGAAGGAAATAGCAACCTGTTCCAGTATGCTTGCCTGGAAAATTCCATGGACAGAGGAGCCTGGTGGGCTATAGTCCATGGGGTCGCAGAGAGTCAGACATGACTGAGTGCATACACATATTATTAATTTACAATGTCATGTTAGTTTCAGGTGTATAGCAAAATGATTTGATATATATATATATGATTTATATATGTATAAATATAGATATGTATATATAGATATAGATATATATGGGCTTCCCAGGTGGTACTAATGGTAAAGAACCCACCAGCCAGTGCAGGAGATGTAAGAGATGTGGGTTCGATTCCTGGGTCGGGAAGATCCCCTGGAGGAGGGCTCGGGAGCCCACTCCAGTATTCTTGCCTGGAGAATCTCATGGACAGAGGAACCTGGCAGGCTACCATCCGAAGGGTTGCAAAGAGTCAGATGTGACTGAAGTGACATAGCATGCATGAATATGTATATTCTTTTTCAGATTCTTTTCCCTTGTTGGTTATTATAAAATATTGAGTGTAGGTCCCTGTGCTATACAGTATGTCCTTATTGTTTCTCTCGTTTTATATATACTAGTATGTATCTATTAACCCCACAGTCCTAATTTATCCCTCCCTTCCTTCCCCTTTGGTAACCATATTTCCAATGTGCACTGTTATAGTTTGGATGCCACAATCCTGAATCTTCTGAAACAATTTCTAATGGGGAAGAGTTTAATTTCACTCACCAGATCCATTTTGTGAAACCACCCCCATGTCTTGTATACCTTATACCTTCCAAGTGGGAGGCTTGCATCTGTAGTTTTAGTGCTTCTTAAGCTTCATGGTGCTTACAGATCACCTGGAAATCTCCTTAAAATGCAGATTCTGATTCAGGAACTCTGGGGTGGGGCCCCAAAGTCTATATGGCCACCAGCTCCCAGGTGATGCTGATGTTGCCAGTCTGAGGACACACTTTGAGTAAGACTGGTCTACATTATTTCCAGTAGTCCGTGTCATTAATGGTTGTTCTTTGATTTGAGTCTCTACTCACAGCTCCCAGTTTGGAAATACCAGGTACTTAACAATTATTAGCTAAGAATATGGTTTATAGCCACTGTCACATTTCCTGTTTCCTTCCATCAAAGATGTCTCCAGGTCCAAGATTTATATTTCTTCTAAACAAGTTCCTCTGCCTTCCATCTTCATAAATACAGCTGCTCACTCTAGAAGACTGGACACCAGCTATGTCAAAGGTCACTCTGAGGAGCTTTAGTTGTGTGACAGGAGAGACACTTTGCATTCTAGCTTCCTAAGGTCTTGACTAAGGGCGATGGTCTGCTCCTCCAGGTATCTTTTAGGCACATGGGTGCTCCTTGGCAATATCAATCCCAAGTGTTATGTGGCTCTCGGCCTGCTTAGTCACTATTTCTCATGGGGTGCAAGATGCTGTGACAGTGGGCTTTTCTTGGAAAGGAAAGCTTTGTATAGTCCAGTAATTACATAGATCTACTTGCAGCAGTCTTTGTTGATACAGTAACGAAAAGAAATAACAGGGCATTACAAATGCCCGTGCATGCCGAGGATCCCAGCCAAATGCTCATTCAGCCTGTTCCACCATGTTTTTGACCGTGGTTAATTTGTTTTCCTTCGGGACTCAAAACCACAGGCATGACAACTCTTTGAGACCTCAGAAGACTGAGGTGCAGGCTATAACTGGGTCTAAGTGGGTTGTATCCTTTCTCCAGATCCTCTGTTGAGCTGGGATCCTTGTCAGAACGAAGGCCCCCGCTCTGAGTGTGAGTAGGGACCCAGCCAGCACCACCTCAGGGGCAGCTCAGGTCAGGAGGTCCCTGAGGCCTGACTGTCAGGCCCTGCACGTCTCCTCCCGCCTCCTCTGTGACCGTGTGTTTGAATTCCTCCTGCAGGCCCACCTGCTCTTTCCCAGCTGTGCCGCCTGTGTGTCCGGAAGTGCTTGGGTCGCAACTGTCACAAGATCATCCACAAACTATACCTGCCGGACCCACTGGAAAAATTCCTCCTTTACCAGTAGTCCCAACTGTCTATAGGAAGATGCTTGGAAATAAAGAGGTTGTTGCCTGCTGTACCCAGGGTGCCTAGTGTAGATGCACAACAGCTAGACTCCTGGTGTCTTCACATGAGCTAAGCTAGTTAGAGCATAACACTGATGAACTGGAGTATGTGGGGAATGGAGACTCCTGATTAATTTAGCATTCTTTTTAACCAAGGCGCAGTCAGAAACCTTTTCATTTTTAGTTCTCGTTAAGAAATTTTTAAAAATTGTGAAGTAGAGTGAAACTAGTAGGCAGTTTTTCAAGATTCATGATTCTCTATTATCTAATGGTTACCATTGTGAATAGCATGTAGACACGTAAATCTGGGTGGATAAGATTATGATGAATATAAGTCTTGCACGATAGATTCTTGATTCAGTTATTCCCTCCTTCCCCTTTGTTTCCTTTCATGAATAAATCTCTGCTAAAATTTTATTTCCTTGTGTTTTATTTTATATATAAAAAAGCCAAATACTTTAAAACATCACAGTTAATTGAAGCTTGCAGTTATCGAGGTCCTGGTTGATGTTGATTACACATGGGAATGATAATATTTTGAATGTATTGGGCTGGCCAAAAAGTTGATTTGGGTTTTCCCAGACAATGTTATAAAAACTCGAACAAACTTTTTGGCCAATTCACTATTAGGTTAAACACAGTTCATTATTAAAATTAGTTTCACTTCTTTTTAAATGTGACTGCAATCCAATTTTAAATTATACATGTGGCTAACATTATATTTCAGTTGATACTGTTCTAGACTTTTTCTGATTTTCATGACTCAGATATCAATAAGTACTCATAGTTAACTATTTGGGGGATAAAGATTAAATTCTTATTTCATATCAATTTAGAAACAAATATTGGTTTTTAGAAAATGTTAAAACATTTCAAATGATGGTATAAAATACTGGAATAAAATGTTCATGAATATAAATGAAAGGGGAGCTCTTTTCTAAGGATACTATCAAAGAAACTTGAAAGGAAAATACTGATAGATTAAAATAGGTATCACAGAATATGCAGGAATTGGAGGCTTTCTGTCTTCTGAGTGTTTGCCAGAGTGCCGTTTTTGGTCTGCTTGCATCTTGCTGAATGTCTAAAGTCTGTGTTAAGCCCAGGATGTCCTAGGGTGTTCAGTCTGTCTGTGACCACAAGGAACTTGACAATCCTGCTGTTGCATCCACTTTTGAAAATTTTAGACCATGAATTTCATGAATCGCTTGTATGAATCTCCCAAATCTGGTAAGTGTGTGTGTGTGTGTGTGTGTGTGTAGGGGGCGCTCTGTGTGTGTGTGTGTGTGTGTGTGTGTGTGTAGGGGGCGCTGTGCTCCTAAACTGAATCCCAAGAGATCACTCCCCCAAACCGATCCTTCTGCATCCAGAATGGGTATGGAACAAGTCCAGATCCCTGCATCTTGGTGGTATTGTGATGTTTGATGGTTTATGATTGGACACGAGATAGTATTTCTTCTTCTTCTTCTTTTTTTAATGAGATAGTCTCTGCATTCCCTTTGAGCCCTGCATTCCATCAAGCTAGAATTAGACCCTAAGTTGAATCATCTAGTTTATATGAGATTATATGGCTTGCTTTTGGGGGTTCTGACCACTAATATGGATTATTTCATTTTTTTCACAGGATATGGAATGTTTTATTCCCAAAGTGGTGTGACTTCTTGCCATTTCAATCATATTTGAAATACTCTGCAGTAACTTCTCCATTCATTCATGCATTTTTTACTCAGCATCTATTATGTGCCAGACACAGTTTGAGGCTATGAGAAAGAAAGATGAGGTCCTTGCCCTTGAAAAACTTATGTGTCAGTGGAGGCAACAGGGAATAAGCATACACATGTCATCATGACAGGAAATGATAAAAATAAAGGAAATTGTGGTTAAGAGTGATGATGAGAGCCACTGTTTTAAGTAAGTTGATTAGGCAAGGTCCCTGGCTGGGTGACTGAATTTTGAAAGAAGTATTCATGTGTGTATCTAATATTTATTATTTAGTTTTTGCTATTAAGGTTTTAGTGACTGTTTTCAGTGTATTTTTAGTACATCTTGACGGGTTTTTTTGTTTGTGTCTTTGCTTGATTTAATGTAACAATCCTATTACAAAAGTATTCTTTTAATTGAAGTATAGTTGATTTACAGTGTTTGTTTCTGGTGTACAGCAGAGTGATCCAGTTATACACATATATACCCATTGTTTTCCACTTTCTTTTCCATTATGATTTACTGCAGGATGTTGAATATAGTTCCCTGTGCTATACAGTGGGTCCTTGTTTATCTATTTTATATATAGTAGTTTGTATCTGCTAACCTCAAACTCCTACTTTATCTGTGCCCCCTCTTTGGTAAACCATAAGTTTGTTCTCTATGCCCATGAGTCTGTTTCTGTTTTGTAAGTAAGTTCATTGGTCACATTTTAGATTCCACATTTAAGTAATATCATATGGTACTTGTCTTTTTCTGTCTGACTTTGCTTAGTATGATCTGTAGGTTCATTGATGTTGCTGCAAATGACGTTATTTCATTCTTTTTTGTGACTGAGTAACATTCTGTTGTGTGTGTATACCACATCTTTGTTACACATTTATCTCTTGATGGATATTTGGGTTGCTTCCATGTCTTGGTTATTGTGAATACTATTGCTGTGAACACTGGGGTGCATGTGTATTATCAGATTAGAGTTTTCTTCAGATATGTGCAAAGGAGTGGCATTTCTGGATGATATGGCAACTCTATTTGTAGTTTTTAAGGAACCTACATACTGTTCTCCATGGTGGTGGCACTAATGTGCATTCCCACCAATGGTGTAGTGGGGGTTCCCTTTTCTCCACACCCTCTCCAGCATTTGTTTTTTGTAGATTTTTTTGGTGATGGCCATTCTGACTTGTGTGAGGTGGTACCTTATTGTAGTTGTGATTTGCATTTCTCTAACAATTAGTGATGTTGAGCATATTTTCATGTGCCTGTTGACCATCTGTGTATGTATTCTTAGAGAAATGTCTATTTAGGATTTAGGTGTTCTGCTCATTTTTTGATTGGGTTGTTTGTATTTTTTGGTATTGAGCTGCATGAGCTGTTTGTATATTTTGGAAATTAAGCCCTTGTCAGTTGCATCATTTGTGATTATTTTTTCCCAGTCCATAGGTTGTTTTTTCATTTTGTTTATGGTTTCCTTTGCTATGCAAAAGCTTATAAGTTTGACTAGGTCTCATTTGTTTATTTTTGTTACAAATGTATTTTTTGATTCCTGTTCTCCCGACAAACTATTTTGTAATGATTTTCTAAGTTTCAAACTCTTTGGAACTATCCTTTAAAATGGTGGTTACAATTTCTTAGCTATTTCCATATTGTTGGGTATTTAATTATTTATTTCTAATGTCTTGCTATTATAAATAATGAGTGTGAACTTCATTTTGATAAATCTTAAAACAGTTGACGTATTTCTTAGATTTTCAGAAGTGGTATTTCCTAAGAAAATGATTTAAAATAATAGTATAAAATACTTTAAAATATCTACATAATGAATCATTTTAAGGTTAAATTATTTTCATAACCAAACATATACCACATATTATCTGTTCAAATGCCATCTGTCTCCTTACAGAGATATCCAATATATTCATCTGTATACCATGTGCCTATCATCTGTCTATCCATCCATCATTTATCTGACTGTATCCATCATCTGCCATGACCCATTATTTTAAAAACTAAGCTTGCATGTGTCACTTCAAGATGCAAACCTCAACTCTCTGAAAAGCCCATCAATTATTTAAAAGGTTGGGTACATCATGCAACATCTCTTAAGTTTTTGTTCATATTTTATTAAGGAACCATTTCTCCCAAAGTAATTCTCCTCCCTGATATTTCTAATATTGCCATGTCAAACAAACCTGAGGTTTACAGATAATTCTCTTTTCAATAACAGTGTTCGTTGCAGAGACGATTTTATGTGCTTCCCACATAGAAAACAACTGACTCTTCAGAGACAGTGCCTGAAGTTGTCATGGTGAGGGCTGAATCATTGTCAGGGAAGGGCACTCTGTACACTGGAGGACCTCTCGTTTACTCCCATTCCAAATCCTTGCCAGGGGCTACTCCTGCATGAACATTTGCATGTGAAATATCAGTACATCATCTTTCTTTAGCAGAGTCTGTACCAGGACAAAGGCAGGGGTCAGACAGGGTCACGGTCACAATAGCAGCTTCATCTTTTAACATGAGTGTACCCTGTAGAAAATTATATACTAAGTTTTAGTTTTCATTAATTAAATTTCCTCTCCTGCCAGCGTTATGTCTTGAAAATCTTTCAACTTGCAAAAAAACTTGCAAGAATAATACAATGAATATTTGTCCATCTTATCACTTCGCTTTGTCAGTTGATAAGATTTGCCACATTTGCTTATGCCTTTTTGTATGTGTATATGAACATATGTATGTATATATACATATTTGTATGAATGTGTGTATACACACTTACATATATAAGTAGGCCCATGAATAATGAATACCTGTACACATATTTTAAAAAATGAACCCTTTGTAAGTAAACTATGAGTGTTAACAATTCTTCACCAGGGCTAGGATTAGGAGGAGGTGAGTTGAGGCAAAAAATTTAAGGGGGCACCGAAAAATGTCATCAGAAGAAAAATTGTAGTGCAGTATTAAGAAAATTCAAATGTTAAGGGAAAAAGGTCCCCAATGACCAAAATATCAAAAATTTTAATAAAGACAGGCTGTGGTTTGTTTTACAACCCTGCATAACAGTGTAATGAAAACAGTGTTCCCAATCAGCCCAAGGTCCTGGGACATGGGGCTGCTGGGTTTATGAGGAATGACAGTGGCTTGTGAACAGAATGGGCAGTGCTGACTTTACATATACTCAAGCAGTTTGGCCATAGAGCTTACATTAACTTTTTCTTAAAAAAAAATTTTATTAGGCTGCCCCAGGTTTTAGTTGTGGCATGTGGGATCTTAGTTCCCTGACCAGAGATCAAACTTGGGCTCACTGCATTGGGAGCACAGAGTCTTTAACTACTGGACCACCAAGGAAGTCCCAAGTTTTTCTGTTTGGTGCAAAATATGTACATAGGGACATACGTTTCTCTCACACTTCCACAAGATGAGTACTTCAAGTAAGCATGTCCTAAGAACACAGCTTCTTTGACAAGCGTGGGTGATGCAGTGATCACATGCAGGAAGTTTGACATTGATGCACTTGGAGTATCCGATATACATCTATATTTAAATTTCTGTGGTTGTGGCACTGATGTCTTTTATGCCTTATCCTCCCCAATCAGGATCCAATCAAGGATCATCACATTTACTGATCAAGTCTCTTCATTCTCCTGTCATTTAGAAAGCCTCCCCCCCCAACTTTTGTGTTTTATGGCACCCCACTGGCATTTTTGAAGAGTTCAGCCTCATTGTTATGAAGACTCTCTCTCAGTTTTGATTTGCCTGATTGTTTGCTCAAGAATACTACATTATGCCCGATTTTCAAAAAAAACACATCCTTGTTTGAATCATATTGCACTGATCTATGGAGTAAGAATGAGTGACAGCTTTCTGAAGTAACAACAGCAGCCAGCTCAGTGTGCGGAGCCAGTTAGGCGGGCACAACTAAGACAGGACTTGGTTCAGGAAAAGCAGATCACACCAAATGACCAGAGGAGAGGTGCACCTTTTAGGTTTTTTTTTTTTTTTTTTTTAATTTTTATTAGTTGGAGGCTAATTACTTTACATCATTACAGTAGTTTTTGTTATACATTGATATGAATTAGCCATGGATTTACATGTATTCCCCATCCCAGTCCCCCCTCCTACTTGTGGACTCTGGGAGAAGGCGAGGGTGGGATGTTTCAGGAGAACCTTTTAGGTTTTAAATGTTTTGTACTGGAAAACTTGCCGGCTGCAATGACAAGAGGTTTCAGCTCTGGGGCCGACTTTGACTGATTGAAGGTGACTTCCAAGTCTCTCCAAGGTGCAGGAGAAAAGTCTTGGAATCCCATGAGTGATGTCAGCCACAGATCTACAGGTGAGGGGTGGGGCAGAGTCAGTGGCCAGTGTTAAGTCTGCATTTGATAAAGAATGATTATGGCCTTACTGCTGCTACAGGCCATAATTCTTTTTTCTTACCTAACCTGGGCTGAGTTTCCTAAACATGCAGACAGAAACAGAGACCGACTCAAAGCTGGTAGATTGTTTTGCTCTTGCGGCTTCTTGTAAGCCAAGCTGTTTCTCTTTAATGAAAGCTCATGTACATGTAGTTCAACTCTATCCACATGTGGATCCTTAAAAATGCATCAACTTCCCTCGTAATATTTTTCTAATTCCTGACTAGAACTGTTGTTAAACAGTTTAAAAAAAAACAACAACAAACAGTTCCCATCTTCCAGCATCCACAGGTGTTGATCAGCATTATGAGAAGATAAAATGGTGATTAATTCCTTCCCAGATGCTAAGGCAACAAGCTTCAAATCTTCTTTATTGTTGTTTTGGACAATCAAGTTAACTTTGAACATAGAGAAACATTATCTTCTTGGAATTTAATGAAAAGTAAATAAAGCTTTACAGTGAAGATTTTGCTCAGAGAATGGGATGCTTTCCAGCTCTCCTGCTGCACTGTCTATTTAACTCCTTGACAGCCAGTCTACACTGGGAGTAAATTTCTCCCTCTGCCAAATACAAGGTTCATTTTTCTTCAGATCTTTCCTGATACAGAAATGAACCATATATATATGCTTATGGCATTCTCCATTAATTCTACAAATAGAGCTGGAGGGCAATTTCAGTTCAGTTCAGTCGGTCAGTCGTGTCCAACTCTTTGCAACCCCATGAACCACAGCACACCAGGCCTCCCTATCCATCACCAACTCACGGAGTTTACCCAAACTTGTGTCCATTGAGTCGGTAATGCCATCCAACCATCTCATCCTCTGTCGTCCCCTTCTCCTCCTGCTCTCAATCTTTCCCAGAATCATGGTCTTTTCAAATGAGTCAGCTCTTCGCATCAGGTGGCCAAAGTATTGGAATTTCAGCTTCAACATCAGTCCTTCCAATGAACACCCAGAACTGATCTCCTTTAGGATGGACCGGTGGGATCTCCTTGCAGTCCAAGGGACTCTCAAGAGTCTTCTCCAACACCACAGTTCAAAAGCATCAATTCTTCAGCGNTTGGCCACTCTGGTTCTTCTGCCTTTTCTAGATGCAGCTTGAACATCTGGAAGTTCATGGTTCACGTACCATTGAAGCCTGGCTTGGAGAATTTTGAGCACTACTTGGCTAGCATGTGAGATGAGTGCAATTGTGCAGTCTTTTGAGCATGCTTTGGCTTGCCTTTCTTTGGGATTGGAATGAAAACTGACCTTTTTCAGTCATGTGGCCACTGCTGAGTTTTCTAAATTTGCTGACATATTAAGTGCAGCACTTGAACAGCATCATCTTTTAGGATTTTAAATAGGTCAGCTGGAATTCCATCACCTCCACTAGCTTTGTTTGTAGTGATGCTTCTTAAGGCCCACTTGACTTCACATTCCAAGATGTCTGGCTCTAGGTGAGTGGCAATTTGGCAGTATTTAAATTTTAAGTGAACTGATTAATAATTGTAGATTCATATGCAGTTACAAGAAATAATACAGAAAGGGCTCCTATAGGTTGGCCCAGTTTCCCCCAATGATAACTTTGTGCAAAACTGTAGTACAATATCACAACCAGGAAATCAACATTGAGACCATCCATTGATCTCATTTGGGATTCTTGTTTGACTTGTACCCACTTCTATGTGTCTTTAGTTCTGTAGAAAAGATCACATGTGTATGAGCACAACTTGGACCCAGTGTGTCCACTCTTAGTAATCTCACCTCTGGAAATAATTGCATATTGTCACTGAGCCAAATCTGGGTCCACTCAATGTGGTAAAGTTTATTGACACTGCGTTGTGATGAAGGAATGTATAGCGTTTATTACAGAATACCAACCAAGGAGAATGGGCAGCTCATGCTGCCCAAACTCTCCAATGGCCTTTAGGGGAGGGGTTTTAAAGGCATTGTGAGTGAGGGAGCTTCAGGCTGTGTGATGAGCTTGTGCACAGTTCTTGGATTGGTTAGCATCATGATGATGTTTCAAGCATCATCAACCTTTGCTTTTTGACCAGTCTGAGATCTACATGCTTATGGTCAGTTTTCATCTGGTGGGGGCCTGCTTCCTGTAAAAACAACTTAGGCATGTGTGTCAAACCTTTGTATCTTTCAGGGAACTGAGAATTCAGTTAGTCCCCTATGTGGCAGATTTATAGTCTAAATTGTTACCATTTTCCCAGCCTAACAGCTATTCTTTGTTTCTAGTCTTCACATTTCCTACTTACTAATTCAGATTGGGGAGGCCTGGGAGAGTAAAGCAAAAAAGCCTTTTACTGAAAAGAACAGGGACACGGGGGCATGTGTAGGGCTCCAGTTACCCCTTTTCTTTGATAGTCTTCTGTCTTTAGGGGCACAGGTTCAGGACAAGAAAGGGAATACACTTTCAAATAGGTTAATCATAAACTTGGGGAACAGAGTTTAAGGGGGACTCAGTCTCAATATGTGCATGAAGCCATATGTAGAAATCTATGAAGTGCAGTATTTTTGCAGTAGTAAAAGAAAATGGTAACACCCTGCCTCCATCATTAGGGGAATAATGAAATACTTTTGGTGTGAAATACTTACGAAATGCTCTGCTGTAGTGAATAAAGAAAAGGTCAGAGCTATTGAGTTACTCTGCTGAAATGAAAAGATCCCCAAGACAAAGTAAGTATAAAAAGTGTTTGTGTTAATATAATTACAATCATGTGGGAAAGGCACAGCAATAAATGTGTATCCCCATGTATGCAGGAAAATGCACTTTAAAATATGCAGGACATTCCTCAGACTGTAAGCAGTGGCTCCCACATGGGTCAACTGAGGCTTGGTGAATCTGAAACAGTAAGGCTGTATCTTTGACATTAAAAATAATCGGTGATCACTGCACAAGCAGACTATGCTTGAGACTAACTCAGAGCCTTCCCAAATGGGGAAGGAAAGTCCCTTTCTACTTGGAGAGGGAGTGGAAATCCAGGGGTGGCCATCAGCCTGAGCCAGCACCCGAGGGTATGGGGAAGCTGGGTATATTTGAAAAAGACACGGATAAAACCCCAAATGTTTTGTAACGGCAAATGGGGAAAACTCCACACAGTAAAACTTTTTATAACTAATCATTGAAAGATAGTAGCTCACCTCCAGGCTCCCCTGCTGCCCAGCAATCCATTTTTTTTTCCAGTAGCAACCCTGAATTATTTATTTAGAAGTTAAAATATAATGTGTGGAGGAGGGTGAGCAGGCATTTAGTGCAACCCCTGCAGTCAGAAGGTAGAAACTAGAAGTTCTTTCCAAATGTGCATTTTTGTAACATATAGACACATTTTCCCATAAGAAACTCCCAGAAAAATTGAAACCACATGTGCAGATGGTCAGGGCGTGCTGTGTTAAGTTGCTGTGCAAGCAATTCAGCAGGGCTGCAGCAAAACCAGCTTTCTCAGCTCCTGGGTTCTGGGGCTTGTCTCAACAACAAGAAACCCCCAAACAACAAGTGGATCCAGTAGGCAAACAGTGTTGCAGCAGGCCAGCGGTCTCCTCCCCCAACCCTGTTCCCTGGGCTCTCCCAAAGTTACAGACTGTGAGTTTCCTTCCTGATAAACCTCAAGGCTTCCTCACTGATTGGTCTCAGTTTTGGAAAGGACGTGACATCAGCAACTTTGCAGACTTTAGGCTGGGGGGCTGCTGTGGGCTTTGGGCAGCCTCCAGCCTGTTAGGTAGAGCGTGCGTGCGTGTGTGTGTGTGTGTGTGTGTGTGTGTGTGTGTGCCCCCGTGTGCGCGTGTCTATTTGACCACAGGTAGTACTCAGATTACCCTGCCTGTCCTGTTCTCTGCCATCTGACCAGGAGGGTGCCGCTCAGCCACTCACAGCCCTGGAATTTCCCAGGAGCCGGGGGAGCATGGAATTTGGACTTTCCTGAACAGCTGAAGTGGAGTGTGGAGCTTGCCCAGCCCAGGAGAGCACCATGGATGGTGAACCACCGGGCAGAAACGGCGGCAAGCCCCCGGACATGAGGCTACTTTCCAACCCATTGATGGGGGGTGAGTTTAGGGGCTGTGTTGTCAGCCTGCTGGGGAGGTCGGTTAAAGTGCTTAGGAGAGAAGAGAGACGAGGGTGGGGCGATTTCATGGCTTCATCTGAAATGTGGCCACGGGGTAGTTACTGGACAGATGTCCATGACTTGCTGGTATCTGTCCTTCACATGGTTGTTCCAAAATGTGTACACCTCTCTCTGCAGGGTCCTGTGGACCACGTCAAGTCACTGATCACAGTTTATTCCCCAGGAGAAATGTCAGCTGCAAAGAATTATTTTTTGTGGGTCAAATATATCACTGATATTCCATTGGAGGTTTGAAAGTCATTTCTAAATAGGAACATCTTCACTGCTAAAACATTTATTAAAAGGTCTTAGGTATGTGTCATTTGGGTGGGGCTGGGTTTATAAATGATGTTCAAAAATTGAGCCCTGATTGATTCACTTTAAAAGGAGCCTTTTTTTTTTAACCTGTGGAGCAGTGTCTTAGAGGTATGATTCTCCCCTGTCTTGTGGTGTCTTTGTTAATGCATAGAGTCCTATACCTCTGGGAAACTGTCATTTCCTGTGAGCACTCAGCAGGTACCTGCTGACTGAAAGGATTCTGAAAAATGGGTCTAGACATTAGAGGAGGCTGATTATATGATTATATTCAGCACCCTGGGAGGCTGCTCACAACACTTGCTGGTCAAAGGGACAAAAAGCAGGGACCCTAAAGTCAGCTAGGACTTACAACTCTCCTGCTGTTTAGGTGCTGAAGGGGGAAAACACACACACAAAAAGAAATACAAAATGTCTTCCCTCTGGCTCATGGAGCAGACAGGACTGCTCAGGTTAGTCGTTCGTTTATCCACTTTGGCTCATAAAAGGAGCAGAATCCTCAACAGCAAGTAGGATTTGGATCTGCCAAGGCAGACCTGGCTTAATCAGAGATACTGAGTGTGAACTTAGAGCAGTAGAAAGCAGAGTAGCACCATAAATAACTTTAAAAAATGGATTTGATAAATATATTTTTAAAGCAGCAAACCAATCAGTATGGAGAAGAATCAGTAATGTGGTTGACTTCTGCATGATGATTTTATTTTCATTTCTACCTAAGATGGGGCACCAGCCACTTTTCACTGTTCAGGGTTTCTAAAGGTCCTAATCCAGGAATTTCCTGGCAGTTCAGTGGTTAGGATTCCACGCTTCCCCTGCAGGGGGCATAGGTTCGATCCCTGGTCAGGGAACTAAGATCCTGCATGCTGTGCTGCTGTGGCCAAAAATATAAATAAATGAAGGTCCTAATCCAACCCTGGTTGGAGCTGGCTGGGTGGGTGTGGGTGGGCAGGCACTATATATTTAGTGCACTGTCACAGCTGGACTGCAGTGTCTTAAGGAGTCTAATGAGAACAAGTGTGGAGAGATGAAATCTGAAAATGAAGCTTCAGAAGCTAGGTGGAAGAGTTCAGCCTTCATGAGGCAGGGAACTAGGAGCCATTGATGGTTCTGGAGTGGAAGCTTGGCCATAATAAAGACTGTAAGTAAATTAATGTGGTAGCCATAGTCAGGATAGACTGTGGAGAATTTATGAGAAATTACTGTACTAATCCACTGCTTCTCAAACTCGTATACATCAGTATCACCTGGATGGATTGTTAAAACGCTGATGGCTGGGCTCCACCACCTCAGATACTAGGTCTGGGGTGGGGCCTGGAAATCTGTATTTATAACAAGCTCCCGGGTAATGCTGGTGGTGCTGTTTGGGGACAATACCTTGAGAACCACTGCGTGAAGCTGATATCTGGATCAAGCATCAGAAATGACAGAGAAAGGGAAAATATGGCTTGTATTTTCAGAGGAAAGAGATATCAAGCTCTGTTGCTTGATTAACTCAGCTGGTAAAGAATCCACCTGCCATGCAGGAGACTCCAGTTCGACTCCTGGGCTGGGAAGATCTCCTGGAGAAGGGTTAGGCTGCCCACTGTAATATTCTTGGGCTTCCCTTGTGGCTCACATGGTAAAAAATCCACCTGCAATGCGGGAGACCTGGGTTCAATTCCCAAATTGGGAAGATCCCCTGGAGGAGGGCATGGCAGCCCATTCCAGTATTCTGGCCTGGAGAATCCCATGGACAGAGGAGCCTGGCGGGCTACAGTCCATGAGCTTGCAAAGAGTAGGACATGATGGAGCGACTAAGCACAGCACAAAGGAGAGAAGGTGGCCAGAACTGCAGTGTTTTCAAAGCCTAGGGTAATGTCAACTCAGAGGGCTCGAGGAGAGAGAAGTCGGGAAGGGGAGCCGGCTTGGGGATCAGAGTGAGATAGGGAGGAGGACTTGTGTTTGAACGGGAATGTGCCAATGGCCATGCCCAGGGCTCAGCATGAAGGTGCGGGACAGAGGCTGGGCAGTGAATTCAGGTTGGGAATCAGGCCTCAGGCTGTTCTGCAGAGGGGCTGGGCTGAAATTCTGGAGAAGGAGACATTGTCTGATAGCTGATGGCTGAGAGCCAAGGATGGAGCCCTGGGACAGACTTCCATTTGAGGACGGAGAACCAGTAAAATTGGACAGAGAAGCAGGAAGAGACTCAGATGCTGTCATTTCACAGGGACTAAAGGAAGAGTTTTCCAAGAAGCGGAAGTCACAAGGGTGGGCGCCAGGGCCCCTCTGCTTACCCAACTCCTCTACAAATGACCCACAGACTACTGCATTTTCGAAGCCACTGCCCTCAGGAAGCCCTCCCAGACTTTCTCCCAGCCCTTACCCAAGTGGAGGCTCGCTCTCCCTACTGTGCATCAGCCCTGCCCCTTGGGCAGAATTTCACTGATAGCCGGATTGCATTTATTTATGCTTCGGAAGCCTTGACCTTGGTGAAGTGTGGAATGTGAAACACTCAGAATGTTGTTTCCAGGCCTTGATGAGAAACTCAACTCAGGTGAAGCGAATCCCCTGGCACTGGACCAGGACAGAGGTCAGTGAGGTGTGGTTAGCTTTGGGGAGCTCTGCTGCTCCCACCTGCACTAGCAGGCTTTTCTTGGCTGCCTCCTCTGGAGGAAGGGAGGAAAGGGTATGCAGATGGCAACAAAGTATTTATAGAGATAGAATTCTTGACTCTTCTGTCCCAGGAGTGGGAATAGAATGTCTTTCTTTTCCCCCTGAAAATACCTTGTTATTGATCACGTTGTGTCCCCCCAAAAAACATAAGCTAAAGTCTTCAGCCCCTGGACCTCAGGATGTGACCTGATTAGAAAGTCATTGCAGGTGCAATCCATTAAGGCCCGGTCACAGTGGAGCAGGAGGGCGCCACATCCAATGACTGGTCCATGGAAGAAGAGCAGAGGAGGCAGAGAGGGATGAAGGCTTGTGACGACAGAGGCGGAGATTGTAAAGATGCACCTGAAGAGCCAAGAAACCACAAAGACGGACAGCCAACACCAGAAGCTAGAAGGGGTGAGGGAGGACTCGTTCTCTTAGGGTGGATTTTTAGCTGTCGGGCCACCTCAGCAGGGGCAGTTTTTCTGGGGGAAACCTGCCTGATCACACAGGATGGGTTGAGGGGGTGAGGTCTCTATGGAGGAGGCAACCGGAGACAGAGACCCAGACAGGAGAGGCAGGGTGATGGAACAGGGAGAAAGAATTGACTGATGTGCCCAAGAGTTGCCTTGTTGGGCCTTTGTGTTTGTCTCTTTGCGACTGTGAGCCTCTGTTTCTTTCTCCCATTTGTCCTGCCATCTAACCAAGGTCCACAGCCACTGTAAACACAACACCCAGATCCTCTCCAGCGTTGGTACTCACCACTGAACCTACCCCATCACCATCAGAAGACTGAAGGCTTGTGCTCCCACTGTCTCTGAGCAACGCAGCCTCTCTCCCCCGCCTTGCCCTTGCAAAATGTTTCCCAGGAGGAACGGTGGATACTACTCCCAGCATTCATTGTGGGCTTTCAGAGCTTCATGAATAATAGCTCTTTTCAGGATGTACTAATTAGTACATTTTCAATCTCTTGTGAATAATGGAAATTTAAAAAAATCATTCCAGAAATGGCAATAAAGATGAAATGGCAGCTTTCCTAATGTGCTGCAGGGTTTGATGGAGACTCAATTTAAAAGAAAGGTAAGTTGAATAGCACTAATTGGAGGACTTGTGGCATTGTTTCATGAGGAGAGCTCTTGCCTCATGTCAACCACGAGCTACACTAGTGAATCTGTGGCATCGCCAGTGACCCCATTTGGCTTCTATTTCTTGGCAGTAAAACCAACAGTTCTTAGCTGATAAAGTACTAGGGAAAAATTCTTAATATGTACCGAGCGCTTGTATGATGTGTTATATAGATATAATAGCCCTTGAGTTTCCAGGGGTCAGTGGAAAAGGGAATGTGACTTTGAATTTTCCCTCCATCCATAGCCACCTCCTGTGAGCAGCATCCATGTTCTGGCAGGAATAGTCCCCTTTCCTGCTTATTCTACTCTTTTCCAGTTGTCAGCAGGAAGGCGGGCAAAGCTGCTTTGGGCTTTAATTGCTCATGTGTTGAGCTTGTAGCTCATTGCCTGCTTGTGATGTGGGCTCTGGAAACATCTCCTGGATATCTCATCAGTGTTTTCAAGAGCTAAAGAGAGTGTTAGACCAATCCATGTTTCAAATTATAGCATTTGCTAAATGAACTATGCATGAAGTCCATGCTCTCAATGCTAGAAAAATGTCAGCCTTTCACAGTTTTAAGTCTGTAGATAATCAAGTGTTGAGAGACCAGCTGAGGCTCAAGTCTTTGTATATGTTTGAGGTGACCTTTGGCTATACAAGAACCTAAGGTTTTCTTCTGGCCTGGAGTACTGGAATGCTCTGGTAGATTCACCAAATCATAGTCTGAAAGGACTTTAACTTAGGAAGGGAAGTCTCATGTATTGCTGCTGGTAATATAGCGTGGTGCAGCTGCTTTGGAAAGTAGTCTGGCAGTTTCTCAAAAGGCTAAACACTGGGTTACCATATTATATAGCAATTCCATTCCTGGGTGTCTACCCAAGAGAATTGAAAACATATATCCACTCAAAAATTGGTACATGAATGTTTAGAGCAGAATTATTGATAACAGCCAAGAAGTGGAAACAAGATAAATGTCTATGAGCTTTTTGATCTATCTATACAAATATTATTTGGCCATAAAAAAGGATGAAGTGCTGATACATACTCCAATGTGGATGGACCTTGAAACATTATACTTGGTGAAATAAGCCAGTCACAAAGGACCACAGATTGTATGATTCCATTTGTGTGGAAAGTCCGCCCCCCCCCCCAAAAAAAACAACTCCATAGAGACAGAAAGTAGGTCAATGGTTGCGAGGGGTTGGGGGAGGTGGAGATGAGGGAAGTGATTGCTGATGGGCAAGGGGTTTCTTTTTGGGATACTGAAAATGTTATAAAGTTGATTGTGATGATAGATGTACAACTCTGAAATCTACTGAAAACCACTGAATTATATATTTGAAAGGGGTATATGTGAGTGATAAATCATTAAAGCTGGACAATACTCTGTGCTTCTTGAAGACATAGATAGTCTCCACTTTGTAAATATTGGGTTGGCCAAAAAGTTCGTTTTGTCTTTTTTGTGACGTATGGGAAAACCAGAACAAAGTTTATGGCCAACCCAATAATACTATGTCCTAATGTATGGGTGCAAAACCTCAGGTAGTCTTTTTTTTAATGTACTTTTTTATTTTTCTTTTTTTATGTACTTCTTCAAGTACATAATTCTTTATTTACCCTAAGTAAAAGGAGTCTGCTTCCATGATGAATGCAAACAAAGTAAAGCCCATTTTGGTCTACACTTGATAAGATAATTGCATCACTTTTATGAAATCTAAACAGAGTTACAGTTTAGGACCCAAATTACCTGTCTGGCTGTCAACTCTGATTATCTGAGGTAGTTTTAAGAAAGGTTGAGGAGTGTGGCAGTGATATTTCTTAACAGCTGAGAACTTGGAAGGAAAAAAATGGCTTAATCCTCACAAACATGGTGATCCAACTGATTTTTGAAATCTTTCTCAGCTTGTGGCTCTTCTCACTCAACAGTTTGTATGGATGGTATTTTGCCTTTGAATGAAGGTAGAATGAGTTGTCCTTTTACTTCTAACTTGGGGGTCAGTCTTTCCCTGTCTGCTGTCTGCACTGCAGTCGCCAAGCCCTGGAAGCAGTAGTATTTCTCCTGAGAGCATTAGGACTCTCAGAGAATGATGCAAGGACTCTAATTTTCTACTGAGTATAAATTTTCAGAAGTTAGGAAAAGTCATTTCCTTGAAGGTACCTCAGGCATGGTGATGAGCCCAGAAGGGAAGCCTTGGATGGACGGTGTGGAGGCGGGCTCATTCAGCATGCTCTTCTCTGTTAAGAGCCTCATCAATCCATCCGGAAGAATGGTAATGTGCTCACTGGGACAGATTTTCCGGGACACTGATAGCTCCAGGTGGCAGGCCCATGTCAGCCAACACATGTTAGGTCCAAAGTGTTCCAGCCGCCTCCTTGATGTGCTGGCATTGGCCAGGCTTTAGTAAACTGCCTTGCTTCTCCAGGTCTTCGGACTTTGAGGAGATACCAGTTCAGTCACGAAGCATGACTGATATCAGACCATCCTGCCTCGTTGGTGTGTTGTAGTGTGCTTACTCAATCAGGCAGAGCCTGAGCTGCGGCAAGCGCAGACTAGCCGCCTCATGTTCTGACTTCCTGCCTTTGTTCTGAAAACCAGATGCAGCTGGAGATGAGAAAAATTCAGGTCTATGCCAAATTCAGGGCACATCCAGTTGATGAGAAAGAGGGGGAAGCATTTAATGTGTTGAGGTGCATTTTATAGACTTCTTTCCTAAGAAAGTATATTCTTTGCATATGGTTAGAGAATACATTTGCTATTTTTTTTAAAGATTTTTTTTTCTGATGTGGACCATTTTTAAAGTCTTTATTGAATTTGTTTACAATATTGCTTCTGTTTTTCATGTTTTGGTTTTTTGACCACGAGGCATGTGGGATGTTAGCTCCTCGACCAGGGACTGAACCTGTACCCCATGTATGGGAAAGTGAAGTGATAACCACTGGACCAGCAGGGAGGTCCCTGCTATTTTAAATAGCAGTGACTGTGGGGTATAATCAATACCCTCTAATTAGTGTTAGGGTGGGATAATAATAGTAGCTAATAGAAGTTGAGCCATAGGTAAGTATATTGCTGTCCTGACTTTACAGAGAAGAGAACTGAAGCTAGGTTCTGCTCCAGAGACCCACAGCTCAGAAGAAGTCAAGTGGGTCTGAATTCACAGATTTCTCTTAATCACAATGGCACACTGCCTTTGTGGGTAAATCACATCCCTCTTGCAAGGTCAGAGTGAAGTCTGATTTGTGCTTGATATTGGGACAGGAGGTAATCTCTAAATAGATAGGATTTTGTTTAGATTTGATTCCAAGCCTAATGGCGTCTGTAATGACATGATTACTACTATTAGTATATGACACTGTTTGCTGAGGTGCCAGAGTTTGTATTTCATGCAGGAAACTAGGCTGGCAAACACAGTTTAATGCACTAATGCTGCTAATTAGTGAAGCTCTCATTTAACTAAATGGATCATTTGCCTTTGAAACCAGTGTGTAAATCGAAGTACAGTAATCTGTCATCCCAGTCCATCTCTTTGTCTTCAGTTTGAAAGCAGACTCTAGTTATTGCTTTAGCTAGCTAGACATTTCAAATAAGCTGTATTCAAGAAACATCCATAGAGGGGAGAAATGCTAAAGGCCTGATGAAGGGAGTTGGTTGCTTGACTCCAATGTTTCCCTCCAGTAAGACCAGTTAGGCTCTTATCCTTAGGCAAGGATAAGCCTCTGGCTCTAAAGCACAATAGTGGGACGTAACCAACCTCTTCCTCCCTTTCCATACAGATATTGTATCTGATTGGTCTCCTGTGCATGAAGCAGCCATTCATGGACGTCTGCTTTCTTTGAGGAGCCTCATCAACCAGGTAGGTAACTTTTTGGGGAAAAAAATGATGACTATTAGGCAAGTTCTTCTGCTTACCACACTGACGAAAAGAAGTCATAGTCTGATCTTAGGATGTAAATTTCCTGTTTAGCAGAATGAGATGAATCCTGTCCTCCTTTATTTGGAGGCTGGCATAATACTAGAGTTTAGTACAATTTTATGCACAAAGTAGATTCTGTAGTATCTATTGAATGAATAGTGAGCAAATTAGTGCATTCAAGTTGCTCTCACTTTATTCCATAGACTGTATCCTGGAAAATTATCATGTAAAGCAGTGGTTTTCAATTGGGGCAGTTTTGCCCCAAATGGGGACATTTGACATTGGCTGAAGACATTTTTGGTTGTCATAACTGGGAGCAGGAGTGGGAATGGGGTTGGGGTGATGTTGGCATCTAGTAGCTGGAGACCAAGAAAGTTATTAAACATCTGACAGTGCACAGGATGACTCTCCCCATTAAACAGTTATCCAGCCCCCAGTATCAGTAGTGCTGAGGTTGAAGATCCTTCACATAAAATAAATGCTTGAAAATGTCTTTTAAAATATGTCATCTTAAAATATCAAAGAAAATTTCAGTTCTATTGAATCTCCAGTGAAAATGGCCCTGCCAGTTTGATATTAGTTTCTCTGCTCCTTCGATGTGATACTTTCAAGTACACATTAATTGGAATTTTGGTGGTTTGAAATTATTTGAAACTTAAGCAAAGGGGCTTTTAAGAAAGTAGTTTCAATCACCATTCAAAATTCCAATAAAATTTTTGTTCATAGTGTTTGTCCTCGGAAGAGACAATATAGACCTTGTAAGTTAGGAGCTCTTGGCCCTTTCATGGACCCCTTTGATAGTCTGGCAAAATCTAAGGACCTCTTCTCAGACTAATGTCTTAAATGCATAAAACACATTATAGAGGAACCCTACTAAACAAATGTGTAACATAGTACTATATGAACTTCTTTATTAACACATTCAGTAAGAAGATTTAGTGGCAATTCTAATTATTACCATACTTTCTAAGTAGGATGAATGTATATTTTGAGCTACTTTATTGATTATCTGCAATAATCAGTGCAATTAAAAATATCTGTGATTCCTCTCAGTGATGTCCTATTACTACTGTGGTTTATGGTCTAGATTCACAATTGAAGGACATGATAAATTTCAGGTGTTAATTCTGGAAATATTAATAAATGTGCTTTGAAAAATTCCAATTTCACAGAACTATCTAGACTAAGAAATCCTCCTATAAGAAGACAATTTTTAAAGATAAATTTCAGACTACTCTGAGTCACTATCTTAAGCTGTTTATGGTAGCAGCAGCCTCTTATAAATAGAAATATAGATAGTAGCACATAACTCTAGCTAAATGAAGTTAAGCTGCTTCTCAGATAAACTGAAACATTTGCCTTAATTTGATAGGGTAAAAATTGATCATTGCAGCTTTTATATATAGCTTACTAAATTGGACTGATATTCATTTATATTCAATATGTTTATTGAATATCTGCTGGAATCATGTCTTTATCTAAGCTCTTTTGCATTATTTAAGCAAGTTATTTTCTTGGAACCTCAGTTTCTACCTTCAAAAAAATAAGTGTTCCAGTGTGTGTGTGTGTGTGTGTGTGTGTGCTGAGTCTCTCAGTCGTGTCCAACTCTTTGTGACCCCATGGACTGTAGCCTGCCAGGCTCCTCTGTCTATGGAAGTTTCCAGGCAAGAATACTGGAGTGCATTGCCATTTCCTTCTCCAGGGGATCTTCCTGACCCAGGGATCAAAGCAATGTCTCTTGCATCTCCTGCATTGGCAGGTGGATTCTTTACTACTATACCACCTGAGAAGCTCCTGAGCATTCCAATACCTACCTCCAGACTAATACCTCCAGTATTAGTCAGGTCTTGCTGTGTAAGAAAAAAGCCCAAACTCAGTAGCAAAATACAATAAACATTTATTTCTTGCCGGTAAGACTTTGGATCAGCTGATCTGCCCTGATCTTGGCTTCAAGCTGTGGGTTGGGTACAGCTCTCCTGCACTCATTTCCCATCCTTGTTTAACCAGTGACTACCTGAGGAATTTTCGCCCTGTGGCAAGCCCAACCACGAGAGAAAACTTCCAATCTGCTTATGTTACATCTGCTAACATCCCATTAGTCAGAGCAAGTCAGATGGCCAAGTCCAAAGTCAAGGATAAGGAAGTACATTTTGTCAACTATGAGGTCATGACAAGGGTGTGACTATATTACACTGTTAGGGGAGAGTGAAGAATTGAGACCCCAAATTCAGTCTTTTACGTTACCTTATATATGAGTTTGAGAGAATTAACTGAGGTAACATTATGTACCTGCTCTAGTTACTCTTCACAAATGAAGAGTACCTATTTTGTTATTACAATCTACATAGCACTTCAGATAATCAAAAACTACTGGGAAATACTGCTGCTAAACTAAACAAACAAACTTTAGTAAGGGATATAAGACCAAACATTCAAATGTCTATAACAAAGAGAAAAGAAAATTATAAAAAATAATTCTCACTTGGTCCAAGAAGGGAGAAACTGAATCTGTAACTAATTATTCTTTACCATGACTTCACATTAAAATAATGTGAGATTTAAAAAGAACACGACAACTGGCTTTCACTCTAGATATTCTGATTTAGCCTAGGCCAGGCTTCATGCATTGGTATTTTTTAAGCTCCTGTAGAATCACTATGTTGAGGAATTTTTTTAAAAAGGCCATTTTGCCAGTAGAGAAAGAGGGAAGAAGGCATTTGACATGAAAGAGAAATAGTATGTGGAAAGGAACAAAAACATTGATAGGTTGGATTTCATTAAAGTTAAGGACTTGTTCATCAAAGGCAGCATTATAAAAGCAATAAGGCAAGACATACATGACAAAATATTTGAGATATCTATCTCTCTATCTATGACTAAGAACTCTTATTCCTAGCCTAAAATCAATACATAAAAGACTGACAACAGAAAAATGAGCAAGAAACTTGGACTGGCAATTTATAGAAAGATATCCAAGTGTTCAATAAATATATCAAATTGTGCTTATTAGTAAAATTAGTAAATGTGTAATTCAAATTACAAATAAATTATGTTACTCCTCCCACTAGAAGGGTTAAATTTGGAAAGACAGATAATACCAAGTGTCAGCAAGAATGTGGAGCAACTGAAACTCTCATACATTGCTGGTGGGAATGTAAATTTGTGCAAACCAATTTGGGAACTATTAAGGAATATCTACTAAAGCTACAAATATCTATACCCTACAACCAAACACTTTAATTTCTATGTTTATATGCAACAGATATGTATACATGAGTTCATCAAAAAACATGTATAGGTATATTCATAGAAGCCTTATTCCTAACAGCAAAAAAAAAAAAAAAAAAAAAAATACCCTTGAAAACAACCTAAGTGAAAATGAAAGTGTTAGTTGCTCAGTTGTGTCTGACTCTTTGCGATGCCATGGTGTGTAGCCTGCCAGGCTCCTCTGTCCATGGAATTTTCCTGGCAAGAATGCTGGAGTGGGTTGCCATTCCCTTCTCCAAGGGATCTTCCTGACCCAGGAATTGAATCTAGGTCTCCTGCACTGCAGGCAAATTCTTTACTGTCTGAGCCACTAAAGAAACAGCCTTATTCATAACAGAAAAAAAAAACCTTGAAAACAACCTAAGTGTCCATCAAAAGTAAGTGGATAAATATATTTTGGTATATTACTCTACTATACAATGCTATGCACCAATGAAAATGCATGAATGAATGAGTTTGAAAAACAGATGTTAAACAAAGTAGCTGAGCACACATACAAAAATACTATACTTCATGCTTCAATTAATAAAGCATTCAAAACCAAGGAAAACTATGATGCTAGAAGCCATTATTCTGAATGCCTTTGTGGATGTAATTTGGGTAGGATGTATGTGGGTTTCTGGTAATTTTTTTTTCCTTTACCTGTATAGTGGTTATATAGTTAGATTGTCTTTGTGATAATTCACTGAGGTTTACACTAAGGATTTATGAACCTTTCTTTGTATCTGTTACACTTCAATAGTAATTTATTTTTTAAAAAGCAATTTGTTAGGCCAGCATAAAGCAATTAAGGCAACCTTGGACACTCTGTGACCTTAATTTAATGGTTCATATTAGCATCCCTTTGGGCTGGGGTTGCATGGGAAATCTTAAAAATACCAGTGCCTGGATTCAGCTACCTTTGGTTATATTGCAGTTTCTGTGGGATGCAGCTTGGGTATCAGGACTTTTTTTTAAAGCTCCCCTGAAGATTAAATGCACAGCCCTATAAACCTTCCCAATAAAGTTCCACTGCATGCACTGGATGAGGACTGACTTTTTTGTTTCTTTTTTTTTGTTTGTTTGTTTTTGTTTTGTATTTTATTTTATTTTTTTATTTTTATTTTTTTCATTTATGTTTATTAGTTGGAGGCTAATCACTTTACAATAGCACATGGGTCTTGTCATACATTGACATGAATCAGCCATGGATTTACATGTATTCCCCATCCCGATCCTCCCTCCCACCTCCCTCTACCCAGTCCCTCTGGGTCTTCCCAGTGCACCAGGCCCGAGCACTTGTCTCATGCATCCAACCTGGGCTGGTGATCTGTTTCACTATAGATAATATACATGTTTCGATGCTGTTCTCTTGAAACATCCCACCCTCGCCTTCTCCCACAGAGTCCAAAAGTCTGTTCTGTACATCTGTGTCTCTTTTTCTGTTTTGCATATAGGGTTATCGTTACCATCTTTCTAAATTCCATATATATGCGTTAGTATACTGTAATGGTCTTTATCTTTCTGGCTTACTTCACTCTGTATAATGGGCTCCAGTTTCATCCATCTCATTAGAACTGATTCAAATAAATTCTTTTTAATGGCTGAGTAATATTCCATGGTGTATATGTACCACAGCTTCCTTATCCATTCATCTGCTGATGGGCATCTAGGTTGCTTCCATGTCCTGGCTATTATAAACAGTGCTGCGATGAACATTGGGGTGCACGTGTCTCTTTCAGATCTTGTTTCCTTGGTGTGTATGCCCAGAAGTGGGATTGATGGGTCATATGGCAGCTCTATTTTTGTTTCTTGAATGAAAACTCTTTATGCTGATCCATGCAGTCTTTAAAGGATTAAGTCACTATCAGGGTGGATACTAGGAAAGATCCTGGGCATTCTGAAATATCAGACCTATAGGATGTAGCAGGCTTCCCTGATAGCTCATTTGGTAAAGAATCTGCCTGCAATGCAGGAGACCCCGATTCAATTCCTGGGTCGGGAAGATCTGCTGGAGAAGGGATAAACTACCCACTCCAGTATTCTTGGGCTTCTCCTGTAGCTCAGCTGGTAAAGGTGTAGCAGCTGATTCAAGGCTCAGTGATAAAGAATTAAAAGAAATCTCATCTATTAACTGCCCGGAAATTACTGAGTGCTAAACACTTTGCATACATCATTTTTTAAGTCTTCATAACCAACCTGGTAGGGTAGGTGAAATTGTCCCCATTTTACAGATGGAAATTGAGGCTTTGAGAGAAAAGTAGCTGGCCCAAGGTCACACTACTAATTAGGTGATGGTGCCAGCATTTGAACTTGGGAATCATTCTGCTATCCTCTCTCTGAGATTTCAGTCCTAGGTTTGAAATGAAGATAGTGGCACCATTCAGAGAATCAGGTCTGGCAGAAAAGGAGCTCTTTTCAGGAGAGTTTGGTTGGCAAAGGCTAAATTTGTGTCATGAGCTGGGTCTCTGGGTGATTATGTCTTAGCAGGGAACTAGGAACGTGTACTGGGGCTGGAGATTTAGATTTGAAAGCAATATGTAATATATAGAGGGTATTGAGAGAAAAGAAAAGGATTTGGGGGCAAATCCTTGAGGAAATACCTATATTAGGAGATGTAAGGAGGAGAAGAACGGAGTTAGTGAAAGAGACAGAAAAAATGGCAATCAGAGGCTGGAGATAATTTCAGGTAGAAGTCTGTTTTAGAAGCCAGGGCACAGGTTCCATGAAGTCAGGATGAATATGTTGCAAATTCAGAGGTGGAAGGAGGTGGGGAACAGAGCAAGGCATACTGGATTCTGAAAGTCACTGGTGGTCTTTAAAAGCCACATCAGCAGGATTCTGTTGGTAGAAAATGAGAGAAGGTATAAAAGTAGAGATAATGGGGGTAGACTATTTTTGGAAAAAAAGGGGGGGGGGCCCAGTGAAGGGATGAAGAGCATTGAATGGATGCTTCTCAGAGGCTCAGGACTGAGGGCTGGGAGCTTTGAAAGCAAAAAGGAAGTGTACCTAAAGAGGAGAGAGCAGGGGAACGCATGTGAGAAGGTAGATGAGAGAAAGTCATGGGGGTGGTGGGAGGACCAGGTGAGGTCATGGGCTATTGGACTGAGCTCATATATTTCTCCCACAGAGAAAGGAGCAATGGGAGAAAAGAAGACTGGAGAAATATTAAGAGATGTTAGGGGTGGAGAGGAGGGTAATGTAGGAAGCTCTCACATCAAATGGTTTTGACCTCCTTGGTGAAGTAGGGAGGAAGTGATGTGTTTGGATGAACATGAGATGGAGGTCTGTGATCTTCCTTTCTGCTGAGTGTAGAGAAGGAAGCGATAACTGTGGACAGGATAAACGATAAAGTCTAACCTTCTTGTGGTCGATTGGTTCAGTCTGGGTAGGCGTATGATTTGGAGCTGGGACAGAAAGTTGCCAGGCACTAAGCACTATGTCACCCGTAGCTTCCCTGATATTGCACAGCCCCATGGAATCATCAGAGCTTCTGACTATATGCTGAGATTAGGGGACAGACAGTTGATGATAGAAAAATTAAATGTCAGCGCTTCAATCCATTTTTTTCTAACAAAGAACCCTCTGTAGACTGGATCCTCTCTGAAGTAATGGGTTAAAAATTACTTAAATAGTATATGATTCAGACTTGACAGTATTTCAGACAAACTGCCACAGTTCATTTAAAGTCAAAATTGCATATCTGTGATGAATTGTAAATACAGTCCTCAGTTTGCACGGGGAAGCTTAATTTAAAGGAACTTCTTTGTAATGTGAATATGTAATGAGTGGTGAACATTTTTGGAGTGTAAATAATTGTTTTTTTGTTTTTTCATTTACCTAGATTATATATAAGCACCTAAATGATTTTGAAATGGCAGTAGTGGCTATACGAGTACATTTGTAATAGAAGAACTCTTAATAAAGAATTCCTTTAAAGAATAGTCTTCTTTCATCTCATGATCTGTAGCACAGGGGAAAATGCAGTTAACATTTTGCTGTGAATTTCCTGTGTATTCTACCAGTGTGTGGGGAAGAGCCTGGACGAACATAGAGCACTGAGAGTGGGGAAAACGGCTTTGAGAACAGATCTTTGAGAGGAATGCCTGTAATAAAATAATAATGGCAGTAATAAGACAAAAGACGCTACACCATGAAGTCCATGGGCAGTGCTTGTGGAGGGAATAAATGCTACAATCCAAATTTTTCTCAAGTCAGGGTGTCAGTGAGCATTTGTTGAATACAGATGGGATTTGAGGTTGTGAAAGAAGGGAAGAAACAGCCCTGTCCCTCCCTGCAAACAGCAGAGCTGGTATGGCAAAGTGCTGAAATGGATTTTCAAATTTCTCATTTACAAGCAGATTATTTTGAGTCTCCCAGAATGCCTTCCTAGACCCACCTTAAAAAAAAAATCTCTGGGTTTGAGATCCTGTGAACTCAAGCGTATATCCAGAGTGATGGGATATATCAACCAGTCAGAGGATAACAGCCCAAAGGACAGCATGACTAGGGGCTGACAAAAATGCCCACGAAAGTAGAAGAGTGTGTGTTAGGGATGATGGTGAGTGAGATAATTTAATGGAATGATTTTAGGCAAATTTATTCCAGAAAAATTTATTTATTCTGAGCTTCCCTAGTGGCTCAGATGGTAAAGAATCTGCCTGCAGTGCAGGGGACCTGGCTTCGATCCCTGGGTTGGGAAGATTCCCTTGGAGAAGAGCATGGCAGTCTACTCCAGTATTCTTGCCTGGAGAATCCCATGGACAGAGGAGCCTGTTGGATTACAGTCCATAGGGTCACACAGAGTCAGACTTGACTGCAGCAACTTATCCTGCATGCATTCTGGGAAGAAAAGGTGTAATATATTGAGTTGACCAAAAAGTTCATTTGGGTTTTTCTGTGACATCTTACGGAAAAACCCAAATGAACTTTTTAACTAACCCAGTATTACCAAGATGTTGATTAAACTGTCCATGCTGTTAATTGACATATGCTAAGGAAAAGAACTTTTATTGTACCTGATTTCTTCCTGTTAGGAATAGATTATATATTCCAAGATCAGGGGGTCTGTGGAGGCTCTCCTTGAGTTCTTTTGATGTTCTGCTTGGATTAGGTTCAGGATCCATATCCTGGAGAGCACACTTTGCAAGAGGTTGAAGAACCCCACAACCTTTCTAGACGCTTCCTTGCTTCTTTAGCTCTAGGCTACTAGAGTGAGAATGTAATTGTCCCTTTGCCTCTCTGTCGATAGAGGTTCACCTAATGCTTTGGACTGTCTTAGTCATGTTTTGCTGTGTAACATATTATCCTCCAAATTAGTGGCTTAATGTAACAGACATGTATTCACAGTGTCTATGGGGCAGGAATCTAGACACAATTTACCTGGGTCAGGGACTCTTTTATGAATCTGCAGTCATAAGAATATATATTGGCTTCCCTGGTGGCTCAGTGTAAAGAACCCTCCTGTCAATGCAGGAGATGCAGGTTTGATCCCTGGGTCAGGAAGATCCTCTGGAGAAGGAAATGGCAACACACTCCAGTATTCTTGCCTGGAGAATTCCATGGACAGAGAAGCCTGGTGGGTTACAGTCCACAGGGTCACAAAGAGTCAGACACAACTGAGTGGCTGAACACATAGGTGAGCCAGGTTAACTTTTAAAAGAATCGTGGATTCATGGCTGAGCCCTACAGAACTGTTACACTGCACTCCTTACTCTGCCCATTTCCCCTCCTCCAGGGGTGGCCGGTGAACGTCATCACGGCAGATCGTGTGTCTCCACTCCATGAAGCCTGTCTTGGAGGTCATCCTTCCTGTGCAAACATGTTATTGAGGCACGGAGCTCAGGTGAGCACAGCTCAAAACACGTCTTAGACACCACTACTGAAAAATGACTATTTCTATCCCTTCTAAATACTTTCCAGCATTTTTGATTAGCCTGTTTTGAAATATGAAGAGGGTTTTTTTCCCCCAAAAGTATTATGTCCATCAAGCTTATTTACTTTAGCAGTAGATGAAATACTGCATTTTTAGCTAGAAAGTCATGGTCTGAGCCTATATCATTTTCTTTAGCTGTCACTACTAATAAATAGCTGTTACATTTCTGCCTTCACTCCTATGGCTGGAAGGTAGTGACATATTCTAAAAAATATACAACATTTGGCTCCGTAAGACCTGAATAATGGTCCCAGACCATCGCTACCATTTACTAACATTGGAAATTTGGACAAGCTACTTAGCCTGTGAGTTTTAGAGTATATATATGAAAAATAATGGGGAAAATAGCAAAAAAGTTATGTAGCATATTTTGTGGAACTGGGAGGATTGAGAGGGGTAAGGCATGTGGTTATTTGGAGAATGGGAATCAGGGTGACATAATGAGATTACAGAGAAGGAAGTTACAAAATCATTGAATTTGAAAGTAGGGACCAGTATTTCTTCCATTAACTAAGTCCCCTCTTGCTCAAAAGTGATGGGAAAATGTGATCAGAAGATTCTATATAGATTGCTCATCTTTTCTCAACCAGTCTGTACTGAACATTTATTATGTGCCTAACTCTAAATAAAGATTTTCAGGAACTTCTAAACTAAGTGAGGAGGTAACCAGATAAACAGGTAAATGGCTGAATGTAACACTAAATGCTTCAGTAGATAAACTCTGAAATCTCAGTAACCTCATAGAATAAAAGTTTATTTCTTGTTCAACTTAGACTCCTATGTGGGTATTGCCGGTTGGGTGGCTGTTTTCCAAGGGTCATTCAAGGACACAGGCTCCTTTCATCCTGTTGCTCCTCTGCCTTCAACAAGTGGCTCCCATGTGTGCTCTGTTCCAGATGGCTGGAAGAGGAAAAGACATGAAGGATTGTGAATGGAGACTTTTCAAAGGCCAGTCTTGGCAGTGACATATGTCACTTTTGCTCACATCCCATTGGCCAGAGTTCAGGCCATGTCTAACTGCCAGGAAGGTGGGAAAGTGTATGGCTGTGTGCCCGGGAGAGAGGGAGTGTTTGGTGAATGCGTAATATCTCAGCCACAGCAGGCAATTACAATACACTGTTTTTATCCATCAGTTTCTGCTGTGTAACAAACCACCTGACTTAATGACTTTAGACAGTAGCCATTTCTTTATCTCACAGTTCCTTGTGTTGTGTGGACAGCTCTTCTGGTCTGGCCTGCTTTGGCTAGCCTCATCTGGGCTTACAGAGGCATTTGGGGTTAGCCGAGAGGTGGGCTATAACAGACTGCTTCATGGTGACTGTGGCTGGGGCCGCTGGGAGGTCTGGGGAGAAAGAAAATCTCCCTGTGGTCTCTCATCCTTTAGCAGGCAGCCTGGGCCTGTTCACATTGTAGCAGGGATTCCGAGAGCAGCAAAAAGGGGGAGCTCTTTGCTTGCATCACGCTTGTTAACTGTCCCATTGACCAAAAAGTGATTCATGTGGGCAAGCCCAGATTCCAGGATTGAAAAAATAGTCTCTGTCTTGTGATGGGAGGAGTCGCAGAGCCACATTACAAAGGAATGTGCATCCTGGGCCCAGAGTCTGTGGCCATTTTTTGCTACCGCATGCTACCAAAATATAATAAGTATTAATAGTAAGAGAATTGTTGGCAACATGTAAAAATGTTCCTAACCTGTTTATTTCTGGTGGAGAGAGGGAGTGAAAAGATGCTTCCTGCAGGAAGTGACATCACAGTTGAAATCTACAGGACCTGTTGGAGTACTCAGCTCATTGGTGGGTTGGGGAAAATGATGAGCTTCCTACCCACTGGGAACGAGAAACGCAAAAGCCTTGAAGTGAAAGTGGGGGCATTTTGTATGATTTCAAATCATTCCTTATAGCAGCAGGGTAGAGCAGGGGACAGGGGTCAGAGCAAAGCAAGCTTGCTGTCCATGCCAAGAAAATGGACTTTGTCCTGAGGGCAGCCGAGAGCCATGATAAGTATATCCACAGGTTTATAAGTATATCCTCAGGCTAAGAAAACTTACCCTGAACTTGGAAACAGGGCCAGGACTAAGCAGAGGCAAAAGAGGAGCCTGAGGGTGCAAACGTGAGGGAGCTGCCCCTCTCAGGTTGTGCTGCACTTTTGTGATCCTGGGAGTGAGTGTCTCCTTCAGGTTTGCACCTGGGGCATCTTAAAGTTAAAAATATATATATATATTCACAATTTTAAGAGGTTACTCTAACTGCTGTGCGGAAATTGGATTGGTGTGGGATGGGTCTAGTATAGAGTGTTTAAAATAAGGTGAGTAGTTTGTGACCTCTTCAGTTTATCCTAACTAGTGTCCAAGTTCATGTTCCTGGGGGAGAGCATGGAGGAGACAAAATATTCAGAAACATTCTTGGGGCCCGACAGCCCATACCTCATTCAGTTTTTCACAACAGCTTTTTGGCATTTGTTCTTTTCTGTCTCCATCTTGTAGCTGTGGAATTTAAGGCTCTGATAAGCGAGAAAACAGCTTGAAAATGGTGGCGCTTACCATAGAATCCAGGGTACTTCACTGCCTGCCTTCATCTCGGAGTTTTTCCTTACAGGTGAATGGTGTCACTGTGGACTGGCACACTCCCTTGTTTAATGCTTGTGTCAGCGGCAGCCATGAGTGTGTGAATTTGCTTCTGCAATATGGAGCCAGTCCCCACCCTGCGAGTGACCTGGCATCCCCCATCCACGAAGCTGCTAAGAGAGGTAAATCTATTGAGAATTGAAGTTTTCCACCCACTCCTTCAAGGGACATCTTACGATTGAAGAGGGAAAAGGAGGTATACAAAGCACTCGTTCTCCATGTGGGATCCTGGGATCCACACAGAACTAAAATGGTATAACAAGATAAATGCAAAGGAGCAGTGTTTCAGTATGACATTCTAGACCAAGGAAGAATGATTCTGCTTTCACCCAACCTAGTTGGCCACACAGGGCCCCACTCATGTTGGATTTGGCACCGTCTCCTAAGCCTCTCCAGTGCCCACCGTGGGCTGTTTCTCCCAGGGCCTGCTTTTGGTGAGGTTGTAAGTTTCCTTCCCTGTTCCATGGCCCACTGTCTGTGTTGTCTTCTTAAGGCCCACCTTGTCCCTCTTCCACACCTCTTCCCAACTCTCACTTCGATTTCTGAACTCAGATTACAAAGCCACAAACAACTAAAAAAGGTGGATGGTTGCTTGTTGCCTACCGTGGCTAATAAACTCAAGTGGAGTTCCACCCAGAGCTCCAGATGGTGTCTTATGGAACACCCCGTTAACTAGTGATGGTGTTGAAGATCATTTGCTATTCTAAGTAAAGAACATAGCTTTTGGTCCCTAGTTAAGTCATTGGAAATTTTCAACGCACAGAATACGGGCAAGGTGGTGTTTCCCTAGCTGTGAGAATTAGTGCTGTAACTGTCTTCTTCCACTTTGGACTTCAGGCCACGTGGAGTGCATTGAGTCTCTTGTGGCTCACGGGGGCGACATTGACCAAAACATCTGCCACCTGGGCACACCATTATATTTGGCTTGTGAAAACCTGCAGGTGGCCTGCGTCAGGAAACTTCTGGAGTCAGGTAAAACCAAAAGCACAACAGAACAAGGAGAGTAAATGAAAAGTACATTCAAGGTATTTGAAAGCTCTTGCTGTTGTAGCAGAGGAAAAAGTGTGGGCAGTGGGGTTGGACAAGATCAGAGTTCATGGTGACTGTGTTCCCCTGGGGAATTATTTGATACTGTTTCAATTTGAGTTCTCTTACTTGTAATAAGAATCATGATGACGATGATGTCCCTGCTCCCAGGATGGTCCTCAGTGATTATTAGTTTCTCCTCCCTTTCCTCTGCCTCCCTCCCTCTGGCCATTGATATCACTAGTTTCAGCATAACTCCCACAGCTGCTGGGTTAGGACTGGGCCTTTGAATTTTAGGCCACGTTCAGCAGTTCTCTTTGATTTGGAAATATACTGGCCTCAGTTTTAGTCCATTGTAGATGTTGTATTTTTGAAAAGGCCCATGTCCCACCATTCTTTTTCATTTCCTGCTATTGTCCAACCCCTTCAACACTTGGAATACCCCCTTTAAACGTTTTAAGTTATTTGAGTCTTGGTTATCTTTAAAAATCAGGCAATCTTTCCCTCTGCTGAAGGTTTATTGTTCTCATTGCCTTCTACTCAATTGGCAGCCATTACCACGAACCAGGAGAAGGTTGGTTTTCTCTCGCCTTCTCTCTCTCTCTTCTCTTGTTTTAGATGGCTTTTAAGCTCCTAGTCAGGAAAGGGTCAGGTGTGGCATCCCTCAAAAAGCTAAGAACAATACAAGAACAATTCAGTTAACATTTGTTGACTGGACATAGATTCCCATTTTTCTAGAGAGACAGCAGCTCAGGCAAAGCTGTATGTCCCCACACATCCCAGTGGGAGCCAGTGTCTAGTGTAGGGATAGAATTGGGTGGGGATGGTCCTAGGAATCCACCTGATCCCCAAAGAGGATGACTTTGCCACCTGCCCTGTGATCTTAGGATTGGCCACCCCAGTCTAGGCAATGTCGTCATAATGGATTGCTCTTCACAGACCAGTTCACATGGTCTCAAGTCTCCAGTTTAAACTTCATCACAGTTTCTGGGCGTGTGAGTGTGGCAAATTGCCATCGATGAGATTTTGCCATCTAGCCTCACTTCCGGTCTGTGCCGGCTAATATTTGGGCTCTAGTAATAATGAATGTGCAGCTTTCACACTGCCAGTGTTTTCCTTAATCCATCACAGCTATGTATGATGCTCAAAGGTGAGGTTTTTCAACCTCATCTGCCTATGGCTCATGTCATACCTTTACTCATGTTGTCAAGTGGCCTTTTCCCCATATTATTAAATGGAATCAAGTCATCTCCTGATGACTTGGAGAACTGCCATGCCCACTGTGGAGGCACAGCACTTTTAGAAGGGGGTGCTTGCACTCTGCGGCTTGACTGACTCTGTTGTTCTCCTGACTGTTTAGGAGTGAATGTGAACCAGGGCCGGGGGCTGGACTCCCCTCTTCATGCAGTGGCCAGGGCATCCAGTGGGGAGCTGGTCAGCCTGCTCCTGGACTTTGGAGCAGACACCCAGGCCAGGAATGCTGAAGGCAAACGACCCTTGGAACTGGTGCCTCCAGAGAGCCCCCTGAGGCAGCTCTTGCAGAGAGAAGGTGCTTCTCCTTTGCCTGAATCTAAGCCCTAATCTGTATAGACTCTCATGGGCTCTAGCAGGAGGCAGGTACTTAACCAAGTTCTGACTTTGCATTCTATTAAACAGATCACGCTGTCCCTTCCCCAAATGTGGGGAGCTGAGATAATTTAGTATTAAAGGTACAGTATTGGCTGCATAATAAACAACCATCCTGCTGTTTGGCATGTTGGAGAGAGGCTGGTTTGGATGATCTAATATTCATGGGTATGCCAGCTCTCAAAGAATTAAGATATTGTTTTAAATTGTTAAAAATTAAGACATGCTTAATTTTTTAAAATTTAATTTATTGAAATATATTTGGTTTACAGTGTTGTTTATTTCTGCTGTATAGCAAAGTGACTCAGTTATACATATATATTTGTTCCTTTTCTTTTTTTTTTTCCATTTATTTTTATTAGTTGGAGGCTAATTACTTTACATCATTACAGTAGTTTTTGTCATACATTGAAATGAATTAGCCATGGATTTACATGTATTCCCCATCCCGGTCCCCCCTCCCACCTCCCTCTCCACCCGATCCCTCTGGGTCTTCCCAGTGCACCAGGCCCGAGCACTTGTCTCATGCACCAAACCTGGGCTGGTGATCTGTTTCACCCTAGATAATATACATGTTTCGATGCTGTTCTCTTGAAACATCCCACCCTCGCCTTCTCCCAGAGTCTGCAAGTCTGTACTATACATCTGAGTCTCTTTTTCTGTTTTGCATATAGGGTTATCGTTACCATCTTTCTAAAGTCCATATATATGTGTTAGTATACTGTAATGGTCTTTATCTTTCTGGCTTACTTCACTCTGTATAATGGGCTCCAGTTTCACCCAGATGCCCATCAGCAGACGAATGGATGAGGAAGCTGTGGTACATATACACCATGGAATATTACTCAGCTATTTGTTCCTTTTCATATTCTTTTCCATTGTGATTTATCACAGGATACTGAATGTAGTTCCCTGTGCTCTACACTAGGACCTTGTTCTTTGTCCATCCTATATATAACAGTTAGCATCTGCTAACCCTAAACTCCCAGTCTAGCCCTCTCCCAAGCTCCTTCCCCTTGAAAACACAAGTCTGTTCTCTATGTCTGTGAGTCTGTTTCTGTTTTGTAGTTAAGCTCATTGTGTCTTATTTTAGATTCCACGTATAAGTGATGTCATATGATATTTGTAAGCCATGCTTTAGAGTGATGTGGCAGAAGCCTCTTTGAGGTTATACAAGCCCCAGTATGTCCTAATGTGAACTACTGGGCATTAGGCTTCTGAGATAGGGGGTAAGAATGCAACTCATTGAGCATTACACAGTATTGCTTTCATGATCCATGGCAATCTGAAGACATTTACTGTTATAACTAAATCAACACTGAGCCCATATACCTTCATAAATAAAAACTGACACTTCTGACCCAAACAACTAAACACTGGGGTTGAGCAGTGTGCAAGGAGGTGGAGGCACTTCCCTGTGTTGGGGGTGGGCTGGGAGTAAGGAGCAGAGACCCTTCAGATTGCATTCTTTTTTTGTGTGTGGATACAAATTCTATTTTTTAGTTTTTACTTTATTTTTAAAATTAATTTTTACTGGGGTATAGTTGCTAAAAATGTTGTGTTAGAGTCTTAATTGTCTTGGGAGGTGGAGAGCAGCCAGCTGAGGACCTATTTATTTGACCAGAGTATGGACTTCATTGAGTCTTAGAGGTTGTGGAAGTTTGAAGCAGGCTTCCCAACCAGGAGGATTCTGATATCATGTCATGTGGTTATTTTCTCCCCATATGCTGAGAATTAGGGTTCTGGGCAGAATTGTAAAGTGGCCCCTGAATCCTTCTTCCTCCTACACCCATCACCCCAGGGTACTTGGGGGTCATAGCCTGCCTTGGGCCCCCCCGCAAACAAGGAACAAAACAATGGAAAACCCTTATGTGAAGCAGTGGGGTAACCCCCGGGCAGTTGTGCCCACGTTTTGACAATTTCTTGGTTTTAAAAAATTACATCTAGACAGGGCAGATTTCTCCAGCAGGCACAGATGGCACAATACGTGGGGCCTACTGTCTTTTTAGGGGTCCACAGAAATGTTTTAATTTCTTTTAAAATCAAAAGGAAAAAAATGAATATAACTCAACCTGGATTATTTTCATCCTTATATGGACACAGTTGTAAAATTACCAGCTGTAAAATATCTTTTTTTTCAATTGAGAAAGAGATCCACAAAGGCATAAGTGCCTCAGGCCCCCCTAAAGTCATTAAATCATATATGTAGACACACACACATTTGAAAGATGTTCAAGAATATGACCACCCCCTCCCTCGCCAAAGCATCTAAAGCAGTGTTTTTTCCTGACATTAGCTGACACAACGACAACTAATAGGGACTCTCTCACCCCAGCACCACAGGAGCCACCTTGAATGCACTTTGGTCTTAAAGCATCATGAGTGTTGGTGCAGGAAAAAAAAGAACTGGAACCCCAAAGTAATATGCCCATCAGTAAATATAGATTTAGTCGATTCCATTATGGAGTAAAGTAACGCCCCATGAATATTTGCAGGTGCCAACAAGTGGCTACAAAGCACTAGTGAGTTTTCAGCTCTATTTATATGGAATGAAGGCTCTAGTTATACAGCATCCCACTTGTAAATAGCAGATATTCCGTTTCCATTGGTAGTTATGCTGAGTTTCCTCCAATGGCCTGCTTTGCCTAAGTCTCTATCAGGCTTACTCTGATGTCTTGTTCTCTGTACTCATTTATCAGTATCTCCTGCACTTGTCCCTGACATTGTATCTAGCACATGTGATTAGTCATGTCCTTCAACATGCTTTAGTGAGATGAGGTTAAGTTCAGTTCCCCCACACTATGCTTTTTGCAGTTTGTTAACAAGTGCTTTAAGTACACTGGGAAATCCTTCATTAATAATATGCCTTAAGTACACTGAACATAATCTGGAAGGTGCCCTAAATTCCAACAGTGACCTTATGAATGTGTGGTGAGGGCCTCATTGAAAATATTTCCTTTCTTTCTTTCCTTGTATATGTGTCTAGTTCCACCTCTCCCTGTTTTCCATCACCTGAGAAGTATGCAACCCAGTTTATCCTGTAGCTTGCAGTGATGCTCTAGGAAATTGAAGTCTAATCCAGCCTTTGTACCCTGCCCAACACACTGAATTGAATCTTGGAGACAGAGTTTTGGCTCAATCAGAAAAGAATAGTTTTATTGCTTTGCCAGGCAAAGGGGGTCACAGTGGGCTACTACCCTCAAAACTGTGTTCCCACCTAGAGGGAGTAGTGAGGAGTTTTACAGGAATGGTTCAAAGAGGGCGTGGTCAGCTTGTGGACATTCTTCTGATTGGTTGGTGGTGAGGTAAGTGGAAGTCGGCATCATCAGCCTTCTGGTTCCATCAGGTCTGGGGTCTAGTGCCTGTGGGCAGCATGCAGTTAACTTCTCCCACCTGGTGGGGGTTTCAGTATCTGTAAAACAGCTCAAATATATTGTTCTGTGTATCCCTGGATGGGGGACCAGGACCCTGCCCAAGGCTGCACTATTGTTTCTCCCTTGTCTCAGGATCCCCTCCTTCCCTAACTAGCATCTGTTTGAACCTGCTCCTTGGAACTCAGGGAAGGTCTCAGAAGCTTAATGAAGCCTATTTCCTGTAATCAAGAAATGGGGACACAGATAGGCTTTTGTAAAAGCCTAGGAGCCCCACAGGGTCCTGCTTGGTATCAAAATCACAGGCCACTGTACCCTTTGAATTACATTCTCAATCCTGGCCACACAATACAATGACCTGGGGTGCATGCCTGTATGCATGCATACAGATGCTTAGCCCACCTGATGATGGCCGTTGAAGCAACATCTCAGGGTGGGCCCAACATCCCCCCAGCTCCGCAGAGTCTGGCATGAGGGCTACTGCTTTATGGGATTCCTGAAGGTGTGCATACATGCTTAGTGGCGAAGTCGTGTCCAACTCTTTGCGACCCCATGGACTGTAGCCAGTCATGCTCCTCTGTCCACGGGGTTCTCCAGGCAAGAATACTGGAGTGGGTTGCCATCCCCTTCTCCAGGGGATCTTCCCTACCCAGGGATCGAACCCAGGTCTCCTGCGTTGCAGACAGATTCTTTACCACTATGCCACCAGGGAAGCCCCTCTTTAGGGTATACAGCTTTGCTTTTTAAAATGTTTTTAATAATCAAAAGAGAACTCCTGTTACAATTTAGTGCAGGAGTTGGGGCTGGGAAACAATTTCCCACCCTTTTACCCTATGATAGGGTTTCCCAAGCTCAGCACTATTTACATTTTGGGCCAGTTGGGGGCAGTCCTGTTCTGCACATTGGACATGTTTAGCAGCATCCCTGTTGTCCACCCTCTAGATGCTAATAGCCCACCCCCCAAGTTGTGACAAACAAAAGTGTCTCCAGACAGTACCAAGGGTCCCTAGGGAGCAAAATACACTCCTCCCACCCCCTGCCCCATTGAGAATTGCTATCTTAGGATGTAAACTCTTGGCTGGATCTGTGCAAGGTTTGTGCTAGTTCATTTTCCACTATGAGCTGAAGCACTGGGCTGGTTCTAAATGCAGAATATAAAAACAAACATGACTTCAGATCACACTTAGGTTTCACAGATAGCTCCTTATATTTGAATGTCTTAAAGTTGCTAAATTATAAAATTAGAGTATTTGCATCCAGAAATATAGACTTATATTTTTTACTGTGAAGACAAGAAAACCATTAAACATGGGTTTTCTTGTCATTGCTGGGGATTTCATAGCTTTGTAATTTCAAAATTAGCTTCCATAAGCCTCCATTGGTGAGACCGAGCTTTACATTTCTTTGTTTTAAATCAAAACCTAACAGCCTGATTTCAGTTAGATACCAGAAAAGAGAGACCATGGCCTTAAAATATCTCTTATTAAACCCAGAACATGGTCTTAAGCAGTACCATATTATTTCTTGATAATAGTGTTAAATCTTTTATGCTTTCAACGAAGGAAAGGAAAAGTCTTGGATCAATGAAACCCATGTGTGACTTGTCTTATCATCTTTCTCCAGGGCCCTCTTCTTTGATGCAGTTATGCCGCCTTAGAATTCGGAAGTGCTTTGGGATCCAGCAGCATCATAAGATCACTGGACTCAGCCTCCCTGAGGAGCTGAAACGGTTTCTCCTCCACATTTAAATGTGTCAAGGGAATGGAGCCACAGACAACAGACAAACGTTATCGAGTGTTGAGACCACTGGGATTTTTAAGTAAAGCCAGGTTTATAGAGTTCAGCTAATTTTTTTTTTCAGTGGGATTTTTATTTGTAACTCTTTGTACTAGGTTCTTTTGTGCTGTTGGTTGGAGGGTATGAAAAATCTTCTCCCCTGCCTGGAAGAGGGTGGCTAAGATATCCATGGTATTGCATACCTTACCTTGCCAAGCACTGAGCTGAGAACACTTTATGCTTCGTCTAATTTAGTCCCCAGAGCAACCCCACCAGGTAGGCACTGTTCCTCCCCTCTTCCCTAGGTGACCCCCTAAGACTTGGGGAGGTCAATTTGTTTAGTTACCCACAGTGAGGCTAGGCAGCCAGATTCAAGCGTAGGTTTTCTGATGCTAACCTGGGGATTTGTGAGGGAGGCAGAATTTTCCAGTATCGCTATCCTGGCTCTGTCTCCACTTTGTGGGGAAAAAAGATTAAAGAAGTGTGACATTTCTGTGACTACGTCTGACTTTATTTTTTTTTTTAAATCTTCCTTGTTCTTATTATAAGACCACTACTGCCTTAGTGGGCAGTTCTTTTTCTCAACCAAAATGTTCTATATATATCAGGTATATTCTAGAACTGTGCTGTTCATTGCAGTGGCTACTAGCCCACTGGTTCTCAACCAGGGGTGATTTTGCCCCTCAGAGAGGGTATTTGGCAAAATTCAGGGGGTGGGTACTCCTAGCCAGTGACTAGAGGCCAGGACTGTTGCTAAACATCGTACAGTGTACAACACAGTCTCCACAGCAAAGAATGATCAAGCCCCAAATGTCAATAGTCCCAAGGCTGAGAAACCCTACACTCACCATATGTGACTTTTGAAAAATGTAAATTAGTTAAAATTAAATACAGTTAAAAATCCAGTTCATCAGCATCATTAGCCTCATTTTAGATGTTTAATAACCTCAAGTGGCTAGTGACTACCGTATTGGACAGCACAAACATGTATAGATCATCACAGAAAGTTCTATTGCTCCGTTGTTGCAGAAATTCCTATTGGACAGCACTCTTCAGATGCTCGAGAAATGGATTTTAACTGCTTCTCAGTTTCTGATTTATATGAGACCTGTGATATAATTTAGCAATGATGGCTGTAGTTTGTCTTCTCTCCCAGACATGAATTTGGGGCTCCATTGGATCAAGAGAAAATAAGAAAATATTGTACCCACTTAAGGCAAATCCTTACCTGTAAGATGACATATGGCCTAGATGATCTCTAAAGATATTTCCTATGTAATCTTCTGTGATTCTAAACTCAATTTGGTATATGAAAAAACAAAACAACTCTAGACTGTTATTCTAAAATGTCCAACTAGTTACCCAGAAGATGGCGCTGCTGCCACATGATGATTTAAGCAAAAAGGTTACTGGTCATAAACTATCCATTGTAAGATCGTTTACAACATAGGCTCTGGAAATTTCCATGCAGGAGTGAAAACTTTGTAGTGATAAATTCCATATACACTCCGTTTTCTTCTTCTCTTCCAATATGGTCAAAAATTCAAATATGACTTTACATTCCTTCCCTGCTCCCTTCCTTTTCTTTCCCTTTTTGGTCTGATCATGTTCACATTTTTAATTGCTCAGAATTTAGACAGAAAATGAGCACCAATACCGTATTACTTTCTAATTCATTTAACTTCATTAATTAATTTATTCAGGACATACTTAGTCAGTGCCAGGTGCCATTCTTGGCACCAGGGTAGCAACAGTGAAGGAAACGGGCAAAGACACAGACTTTCCAGACCTTGCACTCTAGTCGGGGGAATCATTTGCTAAAAAGTAAAGAGCCAAAGGCACTGGCCGATAGTTTTCTTTTTGAAAACACTAGTTTTTAAAAATATAGCCTGGTTTCTCATATAAAATGTATTGGACAGGCTCTCGCTTATGTTAATCTTCCCTCAGTCAAATCTTCTGAGCTTAACCCAGTACTGTACAAAATTATTAGAACAGCATTTTTCTTCTCAGATCTTCCAGCCAGTTAACCAATCTGCAAATCCATATAGTAGATGGTCATCTCCAGAAAGGGGGAAAATACCACTGCCACCTCACTCATTGCAATTTGGGAAAATTACAAATTACTTCACTTAGCAATGTTCAGAAAGAAGCTTCTATTTAAACAGGCAGTCTATTTTTATGAGCCTAGATGTGGTTATATTTATAAGTGACATATACCTTTGAAAGCTGTATCATCACGATCTGGCTGGCACAGCCTCATAAATTCCATCATCAAAGCTGGTTCGGTGACATTTACTAGAACCCCACCTTCCTGAATGAGGGATGTAAATTTTTAGCATCCTGATACCATCTTTTAAAAATGTTAATTACTTTGTTTTAAGAGTGAGGACTTCCCATTATTTCATGTAGCCCACTCTCATATTGTTGCTTTACTACATTCCCTTACTTTTATCCAGTAGTAACGCTGACCAGTTGGTACAGCACAGGTTGTGATGAAAGAAGTAAAGCAAGAAGAAGCCAGTGAAGGACGATTGCTTTCTTTCTGTGTGTATGTTGGGGCTGATTGACAGGGTTTGATACTCCTTGTTCCATTCTGGAGTGGTCAGTCACTTCGGCTCCAAAACAAGGGACCAAGATGTGGTCTGCTGCCTGACCTGGGGCATGGGGATGGGCACTTACGATCTGATGAGCACCCAGCTTTCGGGCTTGTGTAGATCAGCATCAAAATCAGCCAAACACCAGCTTGCGTTTTGACGGCTTGCTAGGGCTAGGCCCCACTCACCAGTGTTCTGTCTTACCTCCAACCTTCACAACTCTGTTATCCCCATTTTACAGATCGGGGTGCTGAGGGCATAAGGAATTTGCAGAATATCACAGTTAGCAGGCAAAACCAGAGTTTTATACAGAAGCCAGAGCTCCTTTTTCTTTAATTTTGACTATAAGGTATATGGGATCTTAATTCCCTGACCAGGGATCGAATCCACGACCCCTGCATTGTCAGCATGAAGTCTTAACTGCTGGACTGCCAGAGAAGTCCAGTCAGAGCGCTTAATCATTATACTCTCTGCCTTCTGGGAAAGACTGAAGGCAGGAGGAGACGGGGGCGACAGAGGAAGAGACGGTTGGATGGCATCACTGCCTCAGTGGACATGAGTTTGAGCAAACTCTGGGAGATGGTGAAGGACAGAAAAGCCCGGCGTGCTGCGGTCCACGGGGTTGCAAACAGCCGGATACAACTGAGCAACAGCTGCCTTATGGGTCCTAAAACCCCCTTCTTAGTTTCCCAGCATGCCTTGCAAGTGGAGGTGGAGCCAAGTATGTAGGTACGTAGGTCAAAGGTCTTGGCGTAAGGTCGGGCAGCTGTTCGAGGTTTAGATGGAGCCTGAGAGAGATATCTCCAGGCCAGGGGAGCCAGCTCGGGAGGCCTGAAGCCTGCTGCCTCTTAAAGCAGGTGGGTCAGCCGCGCTCTGTCAGTGACACTGGTGAGTACAGAACCACGCTGTCCTGTGGGACCAAGCCCAGCGTGGCAAATGAAGGGTTTTTTTTGAACTGGAAGTATTTTGTAATGACTTTGTCAGTGATAGAGTCTTTATCTGTGCTGGGCAGGGTTGGGGGGAAGCTGTCTGGGCTTTGAATAAAAATCCTCCGGCCGCTCATTTTCAAGTTCTGTATGTTTGCTTCTTTCTGGCTCTATTAGGGTTATACTGCTGCAAGACAAATGATCACAAACAACTTAGTGTTAACCCAAGTTGGTGTGCCCAATACAGAGTGAGGCCAAAGAAACGGAAACGCCGGAGTTTGGGGCAGACGTTTATCATGAGGTCTTGCAAGGAGAGGTGTCTCAGGCCCTAAAAAGCTGAAGGGTTTCGGCAAAGCCCTTTGAAAAGCCAGGTGAGGGAGTGGGGTCGCAGGGTGTGTGATCAGCTTGTGCAGAGTTCTCTGGCTGGTGGTGAGGTATCAGGGTGGTGTCATGGGGATGAACTGTATCAGTCCTTAGGCTCCAGGGGGCCTGGGACTGTGTGCTCATGGTCACCAAGTAGTGGACATCTTCCATTTGGTAGACAGGGGGAAGTTTTTTTACATCTGCAACACAGCTCAGGAAATGAGCATCAAATACTATTATCTAGGTGCTTCAGAAAGGAGCTAAAGCAGAGGATATGGGGGAAGGCCTGTCCCAGGAAGGCCCCGTAGGGTCCTGCTCCATTGCATTAGCGGCTTAAAGCAACATGAATTTGTTATTTCATAGTTTCTGTAGGTCAGAGGTCCAGGCATGGCATGACTGCATTCTCTGCTCAGGGGCTCACAGGGCTGAACTCAAGGCATTGACTGAGGCTACAGTTCTCACCCAGGGCTCAGGGGGTCTCCCTTTGTGGGCAGAAATCAATTCTTTGCACCGTGGGACTCGGGTCCCTGTTTTCATGTGTGCTAGCTGTCAGCTCGGGACTGCTCTCAGGACCTAGAGACCACCCACGCTTCCCTGCCCAGTCATCCCCTCCATAGGAAGTTCATGACATGGATGCCGGTTCTCCTCCAGGATGGATGGAGCGCATCTCCCTGTGCTCCTAATTGTGACCAGCTGGAGCAAACTCTCTGCTTCTGAAGGACCCGCGTGATTGGGGCAGGCCTACCCGAACAATCTCCTCATTTAGTACCTTCTTTACACCTGCAGAGTCCCTTCAAATGTGCACCTGGATTAGCATTTAATTGAATAACTAGCAGAAGGCATGTGTAATGCCAGGGGCCCAGAATCTTGGGGGCCATTTTAGAGTTCTGCCTACCATACCTACTAATGGCTAATCACCATCAATGTTGTATCAAGTTTACCTTAAGTCTGATGTATAATAATGGTGATTTTTGTTATGTTATCAAATTCATATATAGTGCTTACACTCTGTTGGGCATGGCTCTTTAAGAATTTCACAAATATCAACTTATATAATACTTACAATAGTCCTATGATATAAATGTGTTATACATTTTCCAGTAAGGAGACAGCCACAGAGAAGTCATGTAACTTCTCCCAGTTCATACAGGGCTGTCAGGAACCACATAATTTCTTTAATCACATCAAATCTAGATTGGCAAGTTGGGCAATGAGGAAGGAAGGGCCAGGTGGGGCCAAGAAGTGGGACTTCTCAGCCTTGCCTTCATTCCCTTTGGAGTCTGCTCGGTAAGTGCCAGCTCATGCCTGCCTGGGGATGAGGTGATGGAGGACTGCTCTCTCTTGAACTGGCCTTTGTGAAGCTTCTGTAAATCTAGGTATGTTGTGGACTAAAATCATATGTTGAATCTTAATCCCTGATGGAATAGTATTAGGAGGTGGTGGCTTTGGGAGGTGATTAGGTCATAAATGTGGGGCCCTCATGATGGGATCAGTGCCCTTATAAAGGTGACCCCAGAGTGCTCTTCATTTCCTCTACCATGGGAGGACACAGCGAGACGATGACCATCTGTGAGTCAGAAAGCTAGTCCCCACCTGACACCTCATCCAATGATGC